CGCTTTCAATTTAATGAAAATAAAAAAATTAATTTGTTCTAACGTTTTTTAGTTATGGCATTAAAGATTTATTACCAAAAAATAAAATAAAATTTGAATGCTAAAAATAAACATAAATGTGATCGATTTCTTTCCTATAAAATTGGTAATCTCTATCATATTACTAGCATAATACATAGCTAATTTATATTTTTCCTAAATCATTTCCAAATATATTATATTATGAATATATTTTTAATTATACTTGCTTAGCAAGAAGTTTTCTACTCACTCAAAGAAAACACTACAATTACGGAACTAATCATACATTAAAAAAAAACAAAAAACAAATAGGAAACTTCCAAATAACTCTATTGACGGGATTGGATCGATATTAATACAGGATGATATACTACGGATGAAATCCTAGAATTAACAATCAAAATACAATTATACAATCCGAAACACTAAACAAAATAAACAATATTAACAAAACAAATACAACTTAAAATTTCAAAATTTTAGTTATAAAATATCGTTTGTGGTGTACTATACATTTAAATCAAACAAAACAATAGCATATATTTATAGATCATCCTAAAAAAAAATTTTGTTTTAAAAAAATATAGGCCCGCGGTGTACGGCGTATCAATATATACATTTAAATTAACAAAAAAATTCATATATGTCAAATAAAATATTTAAATTAATAATTTAAAAAACATCAAATAATATTTAGGCCCGCGGTGTACCGCGGTTAACATCTAGTATATATGTATTTAGTGTGACAATGATAATGTGACTGGAGAAAGTTTCTACCGAGGCTGTAACTTTTTGCTAAGGCTTGTGGTACTGGTGGATCGCATCGCTGAGATGAGAGCTTATGGAAAGCTCACTGGATATCACACGTTGCAAGAGAAAATCCATGTTCAAACACGGATCAAGTTGATCCTCAAGCTATGTCTAGCCGATGGTACTTTTGACATGTTCCGGACTCGAATGGGCATTCATGGACATCCACTTCAAATCCAAGTAAAGTGACGACGACGAGGAGCTTATAGGCTATGGTTTTGCTTTTTTAGTACTGGTAATTAACGGTCGTTGACTGGATTTGAAGTGTTACTTCATAGGAAATCTCCACCCTGCTCACGTGGATTCAGACTCGGAAACCTCTGGGCAGTTGTTTTCGTCTCTATGAAACCAGGACTTGACCCATGAGAAATGGGATGATCTTGTAGCAAACATGCCTCTCAACTCTCAAGATACGTCGGGTGGGTTGGACGGATCAGCAGATGTTTCGACTCGCCCTGCTTCTGGTCGGGTGATAAGGATGGGTGGATTGGACGGCACAGCAGATGTTTCGACTCGCCCTGCCTCTGGTCAGGTGAATAGGACGGGTGGGTTGGACGGATCAGCAGATGTTTCGACTCGCCCTGCCTCTGGTCTGGTGAATAGGTCGGGTCAACTGATCTGAACGATTACAGAGCCACTCTGTCTCCATCGCCAAAGCTATTATCTCTTTGGGCGTGAAAGAAGGATCACTAGTACCATGTGCTCATTCTCAGATCCCAAGTGTGTATCAAAACGTCAGTTATCTCATATATAATATGGTTCAAAACAGTTTGTGGTTACAAAAACACGATAACAAGAAACTAATCTCAGAAACACACAAGACCATATGCAGTTCTTTGGCTAATACAGGCTATTAAGGCGTTATGACAGCAGCAATTTCTACACCAAAGAGATTTCTAATCGAAGATTTCAACAATAGAGAGTATCATTTGCATCCACTAAAAACCAGAGTTGCATAACCATCATTCATCTTTTTCCAAAAGAGACGGAACAAAGAAAAACATAGACTCAAATCCCATTTACTTTTTTTTACATGAGTTCAAAATAAAAGAGATTATCAATAAGAAGATAGATACTAACAAGTTTAGACATTCATTCAGACATTATGCATTACTCAGCTCAAATATATGTCTCCAAAAAACACGCTCATTCTTCTCCTAAACACATCTCTTCCTCTCATTCAAGCATGGTAATTTATCATGTACTTTCCGAATTCCGCATTAACCTTGGCAATGTTCAAGTCGACAGCCTCATACGCCCTTATCAGCAACCTAGGAAATATCTTACGATAATACTCCTCTATTCCTTGAACCTCTCCCTTATAAAGTACCTGAGACATCATAAAATTCAAAATAAATCAATCGAAACTTGTGTGTATTATGGTTTTTTATTATTATTATGAGGCAAACCTTGATGTTTGCTGGAAGTTCTGCGTAGTGACTGTGTTGGTTCCTAATTAGACGTACCAAGCGGCGAACACTTGAATAGAACGAAGGAAGGTTTGGATTATTTGGGTCGTTTATGTAAGTGATTATCGGAGGATCTATCTTTGTACTCCAATCCAGAGCAGGTCCTAGAATTTCTATACTATGGAAATCCAAATAGGCTTCTATCAACTGTCCACTTTGTCCCCATTGCTCCATCATCTCACTAACATTCTTAAGATAAGCTAACCTCTTCTCGAAACACCAAAACAGCGGAAAGTTTAATGCAGAAGTTATACTGATACTGTAACAAAGCAACAAAGCAAGAGGTCGATCAATTTGGTGATAAAATCTTTAGATATTATAATAAGTCTTAAGACGAAAAGATTTACCGAACATGAGGTGTATGCTTCATCAATCTGGAGACAAGAGTTTCAGCTTCGGGAGTTCTACAATGGTGGAGCACAAGATTACTCCGACAGATCAATGAATCGATAACTTCAGGTTTTGTGCCATAAGGAGCTCCAAACGGATGCTCACCCAAAGTTAACGAGTAAAACAAAAGGCAACCAAAACTAAAAAAATCAACTGATGAAGTTTCAGGAGTTTTAACAACACCATTGAGTTTCCTTAGATTATTGTTCTTAATCTGTTCTCGAGGTTGAAAACCCGTACCATAATTGCCTGCACAAGAAGACAAGTTAGCATATTCAACAAAACAAATCAAATTATGTATTCATCAAAACAAATTAACTTACTTATTGGTGCTTTCGGTTTGATGCCAATGCGTTCGGCGGTACAGAAATTAGCAATCTTTGTTGTCATAGATTTGTTTCCACACACTATGACTACATTCTGTGGGTTCAAATCTCGATGAAAAAACCCCATCTTATGGAAGTGATTCAAGCCTTTAGCAACGTCTTCCATCAACTTCAACATGAGAGGATCAATATCTACTTCTAGGTTCATACCAGTATCCTTGATAAACTTTTCAAGAGGTTTTGGATAAGGTAGTGGAGTTGATGTCTTGCTACTTCGAAAGATATTCACGAGCTTCTCTAGCGTGAAACTCCAACGCTCTTCAGACATGTAAGAACAATCATCACTCTTATCGAGAGTGACCCAATTGAGAATGTTTTCGTGTTTTTCGCAGTCCTCCAAGATACTAAATTCTTTTTCGGATTTGATGAGGTTCTCATCCGATAACTTCCTTCGCTGACCTGAAACTTCATAC